GCGAGAGTGGCCCTATTAGCCAGTCCCCGTCCATTCCAAGTAATGGACGTGATAGACATATCAGCAATCAGAATAGCCACCGGACGGGGTCCGCCTGTGGCGAGGCTGAGTCAGACCACCTGAAGGTGGGGGGAGGTGGCGAGAGGATCGACGAAGAACCGGAGAGACAGTCCGCCTCGTCATGCGCAGTGTGGGTATGGTATTCGAGGGGGAACGCCCTCGGAAAGCGCTCGTGGCCTGCGAATCGTCAGGCTGAGCAGTCTGACCAAGACTGACACTAGGTGCCTGCCCCATGTCCGGGCATGCCTCCTGTCTGTCATGGTACACGAAAGCACTAGAGGCAAAACTCTCGCACAAGACGTCGTGCTGAGCGCGGTTAAGACCGCATGCCTGCTCAGAGAAGAGAGGGGAAGAGACACCATCTGGCAGAGCGCTCGGGTGCTCGCCGTCAGAGTGTGGCTGGAGAGCTATAGGGTCAGTCGAAATCTCAATCTCCGCAGAGGGGAGGTGAGCCGGCAATTCCCCTTTCGAGGAAGCGGTGGCAGGAGCTGTCCTCATTTCCAGTTAGAAATCCTGGCTATGTGGGAGGACAGACAAAGGAACAGCATCACGAATGCTGTCATGAGATAAATGGGTGGCCGGGCCAGTGGGCAAAGTGGCCAGCTGCTCTAGATCATCTACTAGGAGGTCGTCGTTCTCTAAAAGGCCAAGATCCGTGAGACCGTGTGGGTCCCTAGAGGAAGGCTCAGCCTCATCCTTTGACTCGGGGGAGAGGGGTGCAAAGAACGAGTGTTTGGCCTTGAAGGCCGACTGAAGTGTCTCTCTGGGAATAAAGCCCGTAGTCTTGGCCTTGGGCCCAACTATGATCAATCGGTCTGACTGGTCAGGATGAGCGTCCTTCCCAGTTTGGGCACTGGCGTCCATCTTCGCCTTGCCCTTATCCGTGGCCCCCTTTGGGGAGCCGGGTGTCTGGAGAGGGCCTTCGCCCTTTCCCTTCGGTTCCCTCTGGCTGTTGGAGGGTCCCGGCTGGGCCGTACGACGGCGCTGAGGCAGAGCGGGTCGTGGCTTATTGCCACTGATATAGCAGTCGGCCGCTATATGACCAACATGACTGCACACGGAACAGAAAGCGGGGATCTTCTCGTAGATCACCTGCTGAGCAAAGGTATCCGAACCCTGCTCAATCTCAATCTTGTGGATAGGCTCCACTCTGAGATCAATCTCGACACAGAACCGCGCCATATTAGCCCTGGACTGGAGAGCAGTCGTGGCATCAATGCGGACTGGTTTTCCGACACACTTAGCAAGTGTGGTGATGGAATCTCGGTCATACAGATGTGGTGGGAGGCCAGGGAGGCGGCACCACACGAGGACGACCGGCGTCTCCGTCTTCGGGTTGAACCCGGAAGTGTACTTGCATACCCTAGTTGGGCATCCACACACAGAAATAGAAGTCCTAAGCCATGCCTCATTATAATCTTCGGAAAGATTAAAAGTGACTAGAAGATGATTGAAGTTATACCACTTAAATGAGAACCTACCCTTAAATCCCAATTTTCCTAATCCAGCAACTAGGTCTCGGGGGGAGGGATAGCATAGGTGAACTTAAAGACCAGTGTGTTCGCTAACTTACCTGCGCGGGTGTCAGCTTCGGCCTGTGAGAATCGGACCTTCACTCTGTTCCCCTCCGAGCGGATGATGGTCCCGCAAGCGTGGTCATAATCCCCGTCAAAGAGGAACTCCTTGGGTGTCGATCGCGGGGTAATCTTGCCTCTCGAAACGTCATCTCTCTTCCCCGTAATGGCCTCTCGGAAAGAGAGCGGACCAGTGGAAGTGCCCGGCGGAGATCCGGGTGTAGCGGGGTTTGCCGTTGGTGGGCCCGTCGGCGGTGTCCCGTTCGGGGAGGGTCCAGAGAAGTTGGCCACTCCTTCTTCACGCTCTTGCCTGGTGGCCAGTTCAGAATCTTCGGTGGGGGAGGGGCCTACTCCGGCGAGGTGCACAGCCGGAGAGACCAAATTTGGACGAGGGCCTAGAATTCCGCTCATTGTGATTACCCGCGGATTAGCTCCGGCTGTGTTTCCGGCCGGACTTACTTTTCCGGTGGCCGTGTCGCCGTCGGCACCAGCGAAGGTCAGGTGGCTGTCGTCTGGTTTTTGTCTGCTATCAGCAGCGAGAATGGAGCTTGCGGGGGTGACGGGTTTGATGATGGAGATGGGTTGGGATGTTGGGTTGGGCTGAGAGGACTGGGTGGTGGGCTGAGGAATGGTAGGTTGATCAGGCCCGTAAAATGGAAGGCCCAACGAGGGGCTAAAAGATATGGGCCGTTGCTTTTGTGTTGAGAGATCGAGACCCAGGATAGGCTGTGGGTTAGGATTAGTGTAAAGTCCTTAGATGGGCTGAGATTTTTGGAATTTAAATGGGTTGCACGGTGTGTTGGGCCAGAGGTTTGGAAAGAATTATCAAGATGGGATGAGTTTTGGACCGAATTAACACAAAGGCCCAATAGATGCCCACTTGGCTTGGCCACGTCTCCACTTGTCTCTACAAACCCTACCATTTGGCAATTGAATAAAGACTGCGAAGTGGGGATCTGATGTTGACCAGTCAACATAAGGGGCTTGTCGGCGGACTTCTTCTTTTCAGGCGGGCCTGAAATCAATGGCGGAGCAAACCCTCGGCTTTCTGTTAGCGGATTCAAGGAGGCCTCTGCCCGGCCCGCGTCGATTCCGGTTGAGGGCCCCTGTGTCGCATCAGTCAAAAGCCCAGAGCTTCCTTTTTCCGCCGAAAAATTCACTAAGGGTCGGTCACTGTATTGCGGCTGTCTCGTGCCACCTCCGACTTGTGCCGACGAGGTCCTTTTTGCCGACGAGGGTCCCTGTGACGTACTTTCCGGTGAGGCGGAAATTTTTTGTCGGGATACCGAGGGGGGGCTTATGGGCTGAGATTCCTTCTTTTTTAAATATTTTCCATTTTTTTCGGCCTTTCCTTGGTCTTGTTGTTGTGACTCGAGGGCTATCTCCGGCGACGAATCCTCAACTCGACTTTGGTCAAGATCTTCGATAATTTCTCCTTCTTCTGCATTTTTAAATTCTCCATCCATTTTTTCCTTTTTTTGGTTTAAGAGAAAGGCAGATAAAGCTTTACGCACTCCCGGTTGAGAAAGGAAAAGCTCCACTTCCGAAGCTTGAATAGATGTTGAGGTTTGTCTGTTGACCGGGGAATTGGACTGAAGATCCATGACTGGACGTGAATAGAAAGTAGAGGACTGAAAAGAAAAATCAAATATGAATAATAATAAAAAAGAAATTAAGCCCCGACGGCTGAGGCGGCCGCCGGCGGCAGCGGTCGGGGTGGTGGCTAGTCAGGGGTAATGGCTGAGGGGGTGGAAAGGTCGGGGGTGAGGGTGGAAGGTTTGGTTGAAAAAAACTAGAGAGAGAATCCTAGAGAGAATTGAGAGCATTTGTCTTTTGTTTCGTCTTTTGTTGATAGGTTAGTTGTGTTTTGTTGCTAGGTGTTGTCTTTTGTTGCTAGGTTAGTTGTGTTTTGTTGCTAGGTTAGTTGTCTGATGCTGCTAAGTTAGTTGTGTTTTGTTGCTAGTTTAGTTGTTCTTTCTTGCTGCTAGGTTAGTTGTGTTTTGTTGCTAGGTTAGTTGTCTGATGCTGCTAAGTCAGTTGTATTTTTTTTGTATAAAAAAATTGTAACCCATAGGATTTGAATCTGGTACCTCATGGAAGCAAGACAAGCAATGCAACCACTACACCGCTCAAGGTTGAGTGTCTTTTGTTGCTAGGTTATTTATTTCAATGCAACGGGTCAACACCGGAAGTCAACGGTCAACGCCGGAAGTCAACGATTTTCGCTGGAAGTCAACGCCGGAGTCAACGGTCAACACCGGAGTCAACTAATAATTATTCTATTATTTAATTAATGTATATTTTAATTGATTTTGATCTAGACAAAATGAGTGGCTAAGATTGAGTCTCACGTACTCATTTTAAGGAGTGGTCTTATTGGATCCGTCCCCTATAATTAGTGTCATATCTAAACAATATATAATTTAGGAACTTAAAGACTCATAACATTACTGACGTCATGTATATTTATAATATATTGTCACGTACATTTTACTACAATTGGTAATTTTTTTAAAATTATTTGAATAACTGGAGGTTGATTTGTGATTTGAATTTCAAATTCATTCAAACATTTAAAGGAAAATATCATAAGCAAATTTTTTTGATACATTTCATTTTATCTCAACTTACATATAATCACATTCCTACCAAACATTAAATTTGCTTATATCTTTTTAAATTAATTACATCACTAAATAATATTAATATACTTTACATATTTATCGTTATATAACAAATACATTACTTCTACAAGTGTTATAAATAATAATGACATTATATGATAATAGATTTTTTGATAGATTAATAATTGAGTATTATGATGAACCAAAATATGTAAAATTATTATTATTTAGTATTAAAAAATAAATATATATGTTAAAATATTATTTATAATAATATAAACGGGTCAGCATGCTATTACATAAATTTTATAATAAAATAATATGAATATTATACGAGGAACAAGATTACGTAAAATTGTTATTTTTCTTATATCAAGGAATAAATATATATAATGAAATCAAATTTATATTATTATAAACATGTGAGCGAGATAATATATTAATTAATTTACGGTCTAGCGCTACCACTACCAGGTCCAGGTTTAATGTCTCGACAAAAAAGATGACGTTGATGAAAGAGGTAAAAAAATAGATGATCAAACTCTATTATTTTTTTAGGCCTTAACTGATAAGTCCTATTGTCCACTCATTTAATATCTCTCATGAATCACACGAGCTACTTAACAGACAAACTCTGTGGAAATGACTAATTTAATATTTATGTCCCGTGCATCGCACGGGCTACGTACTGGTATAATATAATGACTTTAAAAAAATAATATAAGTAGACAAAAGTCATATTTAGGCCTATGCAATTGTATTATATTGGACCCTAAATTGAGCCCAAACCCACACAACCTGTTCTTTACTTCTTTTGCTGTATAACAACTGCAATTAATATCAACAAAGGAATGCAAAAATGATGGTGCCCCAGATTCTGAGAGCTCCTCTACCACGCAATGTATTCACTCACTTCGCCTCTAAATTTCCCAACTCCGTCTTTCTATCTGGTACATTTTCACGCTTTTTTAGCTCTTGTTTGTATATGATTGACAGAGGATGAAAGCTACTTATCCTTTTTGTTTTTTCGTGTACTTCTTTTGAAGCTTTTACTTGGTTTTGAGTTGCAAAAGGGCCTGAGAGTGTCGATGAAATTGCCAAGCGGGCACAACCTATATCTCTAGAATATTTTCATTCATGTGCCCGAGTGCTTTATAGTCTTAATTTGCCGTATCTAACTGAAATTATCTGTCTCTTTTTCTAAACATCTTGCTGGTATGTGTATTTTTTGTGTTTTGAGTGTGCGATTCTGTGTAGTGCACAACAATCTTTTGTTTATACTCACTTCCTGTGTTTTTTCTTTTTTTCTTTTGGTTGGCTGTGTTATTTGATTATTGTTTAATGTTGTTAATCAGCAAGACCTGCCAAGGTGCCCAGACATCACCAAGTCAGGAGCTTTGCAGCTTCGAATTCAGAGAAGATTAAAGTGCAGAGAAAGTAAATTTCAACATTGCTTTTATCTCTCTTTCACTCATCTTTTTCTCTCTCTAATTGTATGTTGAGGCATGTGAGTTCAATCTTTTCAGGAAAAGGAGACTAGATGAAGTTTGCCTTGAAAGATTTCAGCAGTATAGTCGAACATTCATTCAGTCATGGATCGCACAAGGTATGCCATCTAGTTTTAACTGAAAAATATTTGTGCTGATGTATCACAGGAACCTCTTATTCACTTGGATTGCTTTGAAACTCGTTTTTGTACATTGGTATAATGGGAACTCTGTGATTTTGAATGATAGGTGAAGAGGAATCATTTATTTTTTGGTGTTGTATCAAATGCTAGTGCTATGTATTAATAGCTGCTGAAGCTGACCTTTTGAAGTCCATCTTTGCTCATTTAGGCTTCAGTGTATCAGAAAAGTGGATTATGTTTTTCGGTTTCTCTTATTCACTGAAACTGACCTCCTAATCTTCTTTCCTTTGCTATTTCTTAGATACTTTGTTAATAAATGCAGTCATTGATCATTAGAAACCAGCTATCACTTGTTGAAAACTCAATTTACAAAGTGAATCTAGAGGACAGTATCATTTTGTTACTGTAGTTAGCAATATACTGGGATTTGATGTAATAAACTATTGTTTATTTGTCATGGATATACAGAATATTTTATCATGTTATTTACCTCACCACACTCCAGGTGCTTCCTTAGTTGTTGATACTAAACACTAAACCCCTGAGCTCTATCAGCAAAACATGGCATTGTTTCTGCGATTACCCGTTTTAAGGATTGAAACATGGCATTAACTTTTTCAAGCTCTTTGGAATGGAGATGTGACTTTATTTAATGATTAAGGCTGAGTTTTGCTCCTTTCTGCCAATAACTGAGTATATGTATTCATTTATCTGAGCTCTTGTCAAAAGTTTGGGAAGGTTTGAAAATAATATCTCATAAATAAAAAAAAAATGTATTAGCCAATTTATTTAACCGATTGTTAATGAAATGGTTGAAATTCAATTATTCGCCAGCGCTAATAATCTATGCACATTCAGACTTTCCCGGTCAGCTGAACCTAAAAGAATCGCCAAATTCTGCAAATTTATTTCTCAGGTAAAGTAATTGTTGATGGAAAAGTTGTAAACAAAAGTGGCACTCCCATTTCCGACAAAGCCATTGTGGAGATCAAGGCTGAAGTTCCGAAATATGTATGTAGGTGATTACTCTCTCTAAACAGCATGTATCTCTATCTCAATCCTGACTAATGTGTACTTTTTGTCACTCTTAAATGTTAACTGCAGTTTTTAACTCAATCCTAAATAATATACCTACAGAGCAGGACACAAACTAGAGGCTGCTATAGAGCAACTAGAGATCGATGTTTCAGGATTAGTGGCTCTTGATTCGGGACTCTCAACTGGTGGATTTACAGATTGTTTGCTTCAATATGGTGCTTCATTTGTTTATGGTGTTGATGTCGGTTATGGACAGGTAGACTTTTAGAGCTCAAATCTTGAGCGAAGAGGCTGTTTGATTTGTTTAGTTAATACTTGAACTACTTTATTTCACTTATTGGGGGCATGCAACATTGTCTTTTAGGCTACAATATGTTATGCGTTTTTTTCTTGCAAGTTTAGTTATCGTAGGGCACACAGAATGTTAGATTATTTCTTCTAATGAGAATAATTTTTTTAACTGTAATAACAAAATCAAATTTTACTATGTGGTGTCTATCGCGGGCTAGACTTGACAAATATGCATTACATGGTAGGTAGTGAGTTCTACAACCACGATTTCCTAAACCCTACACTGTATATTGACATTTAAAGTCATTTATAACGTCTTTGTGAGATGGTATAAGCTTATATAAATTGCCTAAAAGCTGGTGATAACAGTATAGACAGACTCAAATCATTAATTGGTGAAGTGTTAATCCTACAACAAATAGAATTATATCTATGTTAGCTTAGTCCCATTCCATCTCGCGATTAATTGAGGATTTGCTTTTTTTTTTGGTCTTAGGTGGCTGAGAAAATCCGTCAACACGATTGTGTTAGTGTTATTGAGCGGACAAATTTGAGATACCTGTCTGAACTCCCTCAGAAGGTCGATCTAGTTACTCTGGACCTTTCCTTTATTTCCATCCTTACAGTAAGTTACTATTCAGAAGCTACTCTTACATTTTTTTCTCTGATTCCACTTGGTCATTTATTTTACTTATGCGTATACGTAAATACAAAATGTTTTCTTGCCCCTTTTTTGTTTTTTCTCTTTTTTTTTTTTCTTTTCCGTTTGTTTCCTTTTCTGTTCTGGTGGTGATGGAGCATTATATTTTTTTCCTTCAAATTTCCAGGTAATGCCTGCTGTTGTTAATTTGATGAAGAATGATGCTACATTAGTTACTCTGATTAAACCTCAGTTTGAGGCACTCCGGTCACAGGTATGTGGAAGTATCCATCCTGCTTCTTTTAATACTTCTGTTTCCTTCGGTTTATGATCTGAACTGTTATAATTGGATCAAATAGTATTCTGTGTGCAATTTATAAAATCATTTAGCATTGCCACTTTGGCAAAGTGAACCCAAGATTCATTAATCACACTAGGTCTAAGCAAGTGTGGAAATTACATGCTCAGGAGTCGATTGAATTCGTTAGAGCATTTCAAACCTTTTTCACAACTATAATAATTAAGTTAAGGTGTACTTACGAAAATAACAAAATCAAATGTCGGAAAAAGAATCATCCTAGAATGCATGTATATGATAATGCATTAAAGGTTCCTACTTTTATTGGTAGTTTCCTCCATAAATAGAGGACTGTGTTTTAGGCAATTCTAGTCTTGATGTGAGTTGGACAGTTGTGTATCATTTGTGATTTGTTGGTTTATATCTCTAAATTTCAATTGTCTTTCAGGTGGGAGGTGGTGGGATTGTTCGAGATCCCTTAGTCCATGAGGAGGTGACATTTCCCCTGACAATATACTTATTCTACTTCCATTTTATGCATTTACGTAATCAGTTTATAAACTGGTGAAGGAAAAATTTTAAAGACTTGCTTAGAAGATGTAAAAGCATGGTCAATCCTGTTTGCGTCAAAGAAACAAAACTTAATGACATTAGTTTCTAATGTGCGTGCACCCAATTTCTATAAATGCTCTCTCTTTCGGGATATTCTTACCATACGAAACCACTATACTTGTGAAAACCCACTACACATAAATTCTTGTACACCATTTATTTGTCTTTACAAGCATGTTTGTCGTTTTTTAGGTTCTTGCTAAGATCATAAATGGTGTGCAAGAATTTGGCTTTCAGTGCAAAGGCTGGATTGAGTCGCCATTGAAGGGGGCTGAAGGAAACAAGGAGTTTCTGGCTTGTTTCAGCCGAATGGACATGAAAGATGCAGATACCTCAGTCCCTAAAGCAGATATTGCTAAATTGCATAGGGTTAACAAAGCCACACAAGAGTAACATGACATATGTGCCTGCTTTAATACACAGCGAAAAGAGTTGTGGTTCTCTTATACAGAAGATATTCGTAGGCGTACCAATTGAACTTTGTTTTGTCGGGGGATATATTTTCGAATGTCTGTTTTCTTTATTTAGTTGTGACCTAGGTTTCTCTTGTTTCAATTGATGTGCTAATAATAGTGTTATATTGCAAGTGTGAAAAGATGCTAGAATAAATGATAAATTTTGGTTGTGCATTTCAGATTTCAGTTCCAGAGGTGGTTATGTCTGGAAAGTGTACCGCATCAAGAATGAACTTAAATTAGGGGCGTCTAAATGATATTAGTGTTCGATAATCCATCCAAATTGAGTTCGATGGATAAAAATGCACCATGATAATTAGTAAAAATATGACAACATTGGAAATTGACATTGCAGCAAAATAAACAAAATGTGCTACATTTTGGAAGAAAATTGAATGTATTTGACATATTTGTCATAATCATTAATGTATTATAATTATTTACATTTTTATATTCAAAAGCCATACTCTAAAAAACATTGATATATCACAATATATTGCATATTTGTTTAAAAATAAAAATCATGGAAGACCTAATAACATCAACTCTAGGATGCAACATGTACCATGCTCGATTCAATGCAGGGTGCTCCTATATTTGATGCCCCACTTTGCCTGAATTCAACAGAATCAATATTATATGAAATTACGCAAAAAATATCATATATATATATATACATATATAGGGGTGGATCCAATGAGACCACTCCTTAAAATGAGTACGTGAGACTCAATCTTAGCCACTCATTTTGTCTAGATCAAAATCAATTAAAATATACATTAATTAAATAATAAAATAGTTGACCGTTGACTCCGGCGTTGACCGTTGACTTCCGGCGTTGACCGTTGCTTCCGGCGTTGACCCGTTGTATTGAAATAAATAACCTAGCAACAAAAGACACTCAATCTTGAGTGGTGTAGTGGTTGCATTGCTTGTCTTGCGTCCATGAGGTACCAGGTTCAAATCCTATGGGTTACAATTTTTTTATAAAAAAAAAATACAACTAACTTAACAACATCAGACAACTAACCTAGCAACAAAACACAACTAACAAAAGACAACTAACCTAGCAGCAAGAAAGAAAACTAAACTAGCAACAAAGACAACTAACCAAGCAACAAAACAGAACAACTAAACTAGCAACAAAGACAACTAACCAAGCAACAAAACATAACTAACCTAGCAACAAGAAAGAAAAACTAAACACAACTAACCTAGCAACAAGAAAGAAATAACCTAGCAACAAAAGACAATAACCTAGCAACAAAAGACAACTAAACTAACTTAGCAGCATCAGACAACTAACCTAGCAACAAAAGACAACTAACCTAGCAGCAAGAAAGAACAACTAAACTAGCAACAAAGACAACTAACCAAGCAACAAAACATAACTAACCTAGCAACAAGAAAGAAAAACTAAACACAACTAACCTAGCAACAAGAAAGAAATAACCTAGCAACAAAAGACAATAACCTAGCAACAAAAGACAACTAAACTAACTTAGCAGCATCAGACAACTAACCTAGCAACAAAAGACAACTAACCTAGCAGCAAGAAAGAACAACTAAACTAGCAACAAAGACAACTAACCAAGCAACAAAACATAACTAACCTAGCAACAAGAAAGAAAAACTAACCTAGCAACAAAACACAACTAACCTAGCAACAAGAAAGAAATAACCTAGCAACAAAAGACAACTAACCTAGCAACTACAGATAACTAACCTAGCAACTTAAGACAACTAACCTAGCAGCATCAAACAACTAGCCTAGCAGTAAGAAAGAAATAACCTAGCAACAAAAGACAACTAACCTAGCAGCAAGAAAGAAATAACCTAGCAACAAAAGACAACTAACCTAGCAGCATCAGACAACTAACCTAGCAGCAAGAAAGAACTAACCTAGCAACAAAAGACAACTAACCTAGCAGCAAGAAAGAAATAACATAACAAAAAACAAATGGTCAACGGTCAACGTCGGAAGTCAACGCCGGAAGTCAACGGTCAACGCCGGAGTCAACGGTCAATGGTCATAATAATATTTAAATAATTAAAAATAAAGAATTAAATAATAAAAATAAAAAATTATTATTTAAATCAAGATCTAAATCTTGTGGCTAGGAATGAGTCTCACATTCTCACTTTAAATAATGGGATGCATTGGAACCAATCCCTACATATATATACATATATATGATGAGGTTCAAATAAGAACTCACCCATAGTGTGAGAACTAGGAACCCATCCTGTCCTTTGATTACATAAGTATAAATGGTCATGATTATTTAATATATTATTATAGAATACAATGATTAATTAGGTATGTCTATTATTGTCAAAAACATTGTTATTAATTAGGGAAATGATTTAGATCTTTTGTTCGAATGGTAAGAATTACTCAGCTTCCATTTTTTACCATAATCATCCACATTTTTTTAGCAGCATATGTGTGCTACGGTGTACAAAGTATGATGCTATGTTTAACAAAATGTGATGCTATTTTGCTGATAGACTACATCAACAATAACACATGTTCTTCCTTATTCTTGTTTTGAATTTTAAGAATACTTTACAGCATGCTAATTATTTGCAAATAGATTTATAATATATTATTTGAATTTTAAGAATACTTTACAGCATGCTAATTAGTTGCAAATAGATTTATAATATTTTAGTGCTACCAGTAATAGGGTGATGTAGATACCATATGAAATAAATTGTGAATAATCACTCATGTTATGTTATTATATTCTATTACAAGTTTAAACACGCATACAATTTAAGTTTAGGCTTATTTCAACATAGACATTTTTTAGCAGCATATGTGTGCTATACTGCTATGTTGTATAAAGTATGATGCTATGTTTAACAGAATGTCATGCTATTTTGCTGACATACATCAACAATAACACATATTCTTCTTTATTCTTGTTTTGAATTTTAAGAAATACTTCACAACATGCTAATTATTTGCAAATGGATTTATAATATATTAGTGCTACCAGAAATAGGGTGATGTAGATACCATATAAAATAAATTGTGAATAATATCACTCATGTTTTGGTAGATTGATAAAGAGTTTGCTCCTATGTGACTATTCAGTTTCCTAAAATCCGGACATCCCATAACAAATGGACTCTCAAAAGTCTATTGTTCCTAATTTACTCTCCATCTATTAATTAAATGATCATTGAAATTTTGTTGCTTGTAAAAACGTCTAATCCACTCCGCCAAAATACTACAATCAAGGGTTGATATCAGTTCCTAGTTCTCACACTAGGAGGGGTTCTTATTAGAACCCTTCCCTATATATATATATATATATATATAAAAGAGTAAGGTTTATAAGAATTTACAGCCAAATAAACATTTGGGCTTCAATATAACATCAAAGATTATGGCTCTAAGGTTTTTTATAACCCCGTCATCAACAAAATTAAACAAGACCAGCCAATAATAATAACAAAAGAAATATATATATGCAAGGTGTTGGATTTCAGTCGTACGGATCAATCGCACACGCAGCGGAATTTTAAAATTTTCTTACCAACAACGAAGATCCGGTTATAGCTATTCGATATGATCCTAGATCGCGTGAATGATACACGAAAACTTACAGTTATTCGTCTTTTGTCCTCGACTATGGTATCCACGCAATCCAGTTTTTGGGTGCACGATCTAACGCTAATGAATCCCTTCCGGTGAAGAAGCTAGGAATCCTCGATCCAGAAAGCTAGAGAGTGTTTTATTTTACGATGTGTCTTTCTTCTCTCATCTAATGATCGTTTTAGACTACAAGAGATAATGACCTATTTATAATTAGGTCAAACCTAATTATATGGGCTGTAGGAGATCCTATGGCCCAATAGGCAATTGGACTTAATCAAATAACAATTTAATTAAGTATAAATCTAATTGAACTTAATTAAATATTTTCTATCAAATAGAAAATAATTTCATTACTCATAAATAAATATTCCAATCCAATTGAATATTTAACACTCTCGATTCACTCTTAGCCAGAAAACTGATTGCTTATTTTGTGACCCTATAGGCCTTCATATATTGACATAAATCTAATTTATGATCCTTACGAAACTCTTAGACTGCGTCGAAGGACGAACTCAAAATATGAAGTACGTTTACATGGACAAAGCAAACAAACCTTTAGTGTAGAACTCAATAGTGATACGGTCCCTTCATTCACGACCACTCGATTAAGCTTAGGATTTGAACATGTGTCTATCCAAACAACTTAATCATTTTATCTCATCTCACTGGTTGATTTTATCAATTATATTTGAACACCATTTCATATATAATCACGTGCATTGGCCAATGACTTTATCAACCCAGTATGGAGAAAATGAGTGTTCTCTCGAAACTATATTCGAGGAATGAATCCTATCTTGGCTCAACTACCAATTCCATGTATATCGTGATCTACCCAACACAAGCTCGTATCTACCCATAAGGGCGTAAGCTTTGAACTAGGTCTAACTAAATCACTCTATACATGAATTGCGTATTGACCTCAAGTCAAAGGACTATTACACCATTCCACACACAGATACTCCCATAGACACATAAACAAATGGTTTATCGGTAGGGTATGCCAATACTCTCTAAAGTATCCATGTGTCCATCACGAATAACAATTATTCATAGTAGTGAGACATACTATATTCTCATAGAATATGATGCAGACCACATGTCAATCTATCGCGTATCATTAATATCCCTTTCTTAATGATCATCAATTTAGGCAATTTAAGAGTTATACTTTATCAATTAACATCTCACTCTGTTAATGAAAGTATCAACCCAAGGGAGCAATTAATTAATAAATTGCAAACAATCAAACAATTATTTAATTAATTGCAATACATAATTATAATCTAATATAATTATTAATGCGATTGTGCTCAAAATGACTATTGTGCTCAACTATGCACAATGGTTTGGTGAACGAACCATTCAAGTAATGCCCAGCTTGAACACATTCTAACTTATTTCTCCTCTATCAATTATCTCTAAATAAATGATAGTGCCTTTGTACATGTTTATTTTGTTGTTGGATCTTGGTTCCTTTGCCCCTGCAATCGCACCGTTTTATCATAATATGTAGATATTAGATAAATGGCACTTGGAACTACCCTAGTTCATTTAAGAACTCATGTATCCAAATAGCCTCCATAGGCTTTTGATGCAACAATGTACTTGGCTTTTGCAGTTGAACTCA